AACCAAAAAAAAAAAAAAAACGAAGAAAAGAAAAAGAAAAAAGAAAATCGGTTCGAGGGACAAAAGGGATCCATTGCTAAACACCCTCGGGAGGCACGGGAGAAGAGTGGACGAAGGGGGGTTTGTGCACTCACTCTATGTGTGGTTGATCGCCAATTCTAGTTCAACCAAGGCGGAAGCAAAAGGAATGGGAAATTGGGTTGGGTACGGAAGATTATTTACGAGTGGTGGTATTTTTCGGTGTAATAATAAAATTACAGCGCTCTTACAAGCTGGTACTTGAGTTTGGAAAGAAAACTTACTAACCACCCACTGGGAATGGGGCAAAATGAAGGCGGGGAAGATACTGCGCGGGAAATGTGTATGGACTTGGTAACTAGTTCATAAGATGGTGTGGCCAAACTGGACTGATTACGAGGTTTCCGTAATTAATTGAACTCTGGATAGATTACTGTACAGGGTTTAGTGCAAGGCAAAAGGGTAAGAAAAAAAAATCCAAGTCAGTCGGGACGCCAACAGGGTGGTACTTCCATCGACCTAATGAATGACAAGGATACTGGATCGGGTTGTCATGGCGAGGTAAAATATGTACGGGAAGTACGGGCTCCATGATTACTACTACTGTTGCTACCACTTCCCTCTGTGTCAGGCATGGATCACTTGGGATGGGAATTGGAACTTGGCCGAGAAGAGAGCCACTAAGATTAAAGGAGACTAGTTCCCCGGTGGATATGGGAGGTAATATGAGTGAGAATAAATAGGCAGTAACGTATGAAACTTTGGAAAAATTCCTAGCCAACCCGACTTATCCACTGGTTGTGTAAGAATGAGAGGGGACCACTGGGGCATAGGCAACATGTTGCGTCGAGAGTAGTAAACTATGCGTTATGAGTGCGTCCGAGGGATGCGATAAGTACACCAGGACCCAGAAAGGAGGCGTAATGAAATTAAACCAGCCAATCAATGGTCCCACATGGCGGTAGATGATTCCAACAGATGGTAGTCCAATCGCTGCATTCAGCTTGCTTGAACTAGCCTTTCCCACATATTTTACTTTCTGAACTATTCTTTTTTTTTTCTCTTCCCACTCGTCTTGGGAAATAGGGCTCCTGTTGGGGAGAGACAGGCGCAGGCCGCGGGACCACGACCGTCCCGACTCACTCAGCGACCATCAGCCCCCTCTCCCTCCCTTGTGACTCCTACTGGTGGTGGTGGCACATACCCTAAGCAAGTCCACCATCCGAGTCAATGATGGTTAGGTGATTGAATACCTCAAACTCCGCCTGCCAACGAATCCGCTTCCAACTCGTCATTCACCCAATCCAACATCTGCTGCTGCGCCTTTCCAGGTTTCCTCTGCTCCGTACCGTCCGACTCCGCCCAGTCGTAATGCCCGGTGTATGAAGTATAATCCGAACCATGAATAGATGTTTACCCATTCGGTCTCCTTCTACACGCTGCAATTCAAACTAATCCGCCACTTGTTATGACACCACTACTCTAAAGGTATTGATCCAGTTTCGAGATGATAGGGCACCAATAGTCAACCGTAGTCAAAAACGAAAACAAAACAAAAGGACAACATAATATTCAAGGACCCATGACGGCGTAGACTCATACACGGGGTTTTTGTCCTGTCAGCTGCTCGTGTACGTCAATAATATAGTCATTTTAGGGACTTAGCCCGAAAGAGAAGCTCCCAGTCCCATGGTTTTAATACTAACTTCATTATTGTCACATTGCGCAGCAACTCGGCAGCAGTACGGAGTAAATGGAGCTTTGATCTAAGACAACATTCATCACCACCACCCGAAGTCCCTCGCATGGATAAAGGCGCTAAACAAAATATGATAACACAGTTGCTTCCCCCCCCTCCTCCAAAAGAAAAAAAGAAAAAAAGAAAAAGAAAACAACAGTTTCAACCCCCTGACTCGTGCTTTGAGACAGAGCAGAAAGTTAATAGAGTATGGCAGAAACAGAGTGCTTTTGTAAGTGGTACAGTGGTGTTCCAAATGATGGTCTGCATGCAATAGTTTCCCTATGGCGCCTCTACCCATCACTTTGGGGCTTGTTTCTTTTCTTTGGCTTTTTTTCCCTTGGTTTACCTAAGCATTTCATGTTCAAGTTATTGGCAATAATAGTAGTATCCCACAGCATCTCCATAAAAAGAATATACTCCGGACTCCATCCTTCACCTTATGGAGTAGAACAATAGTTCTACTCGGCAGTTTTACTCGTCTTGATGAGGTAAATACTATATAGCCCAGATACTAGAAGGAGCTATTTCCGGCCGTCTTTCCATGCATTCGGTGAAACCTGTCGTAGTCATGACGATCGTAGTACTCGGGACGCGACGCTGTACATAATGTCGATAGTCAACAAATGCACAGAATAAAGTATCTCAAATCCCGTCTATTTTCCTCTTTCCCTGTTGAACCCCGAAAGTTCGGTCCTAAGAGTGTGGGTAGCGTCAGGATCGTTTTAACTTCGCTGTGATACCAAATTTTCTTAGGGGATGTGCACCGGTCGGACGACTTTCCTGTGTCTGGACGACGGAGTCCTCTGTACTTCCAACTGCTCCCACTAACTTCAGGGGACAGGCAAACACTGATAGTTCGGGTATGGCTTCTGACAGTTCCGTACCGGAGTAGATCGATGCATTGACGATACTGTATACATTGATGTGACGTCTCATTCGCCCAAAGAGCGGCAGACCATGACCTACCTGAATCCCGCCCCCTTCCAAAAGGACGCAAAGA